TTATACTTACATGATAATATTAATACATTTTAAAAATTGTGTATAACAATAATGAATAAAAATACAGTTCATTATAACATTATAACGTTCGCTAGATGAAACAAATTTCTGACGAAATCTAACTTCTTTAATTTCGTCGATAAAATTACGAATTTGCATAAACATCCGCAATTTTTTTTAATCCATTGGAACGAGACGAAGTTTAATTTCTACTCGAAAGCTGAATCATTTGAATTTTTAGGCAGCGTAGCTAGCTTAGAATCACGATCGTTGGGTGATTTGATCCACCTGGACGGCAGTTTGAACGAGAAAGCGGTAATTTTCGCCATGCTACGCCACAAACCGCCAGACTTTATATGGGACTGCCGAAACGACTTTGTCGATTGGCATCGCGGCCTGAGTAGCAACACGATTCTCAACAGATATCAAAAGCCTTCCGTCTACACCTCCAAGGTTAACACCATCCTCTGATTTTATCCAATTTCTCTGTTTAACCTGTTTTCGACTGAAATGACAAAATAATTTTTTTTTAAATGACAAGTAATTAAATGCGCAATAATTTTCGATATGCACGTGCCATTTGAGATACAAAATATCCTGGTCAATTATGAACCTCACCAAGAGCCAGGCAATAATTTAAATTTCTCGAGTTTCTTTGAATACCATGAACGAATCTTTGGAATTTCCTCTCGTGTTGAAAAATCGTGTAGAATCGATTGAAAAGAATTGCAAATGAAATTTAAGGCTAACAATGGTATTCTTAACGAGTTAAGGATCAAGCAACGGTTTGTGTCACAACGTTAGAAATATTTATATTTTTCTACAACTGTAGACTACAAAATTCGCCACCGTAATATTGCCAATATCTGTAATAAATAAATTATTGATGAGAACAAAATAATGTTTGCAGCAAAAGTATAATTGTTTCAAAGACATAATTTAACGTAAGTACGTAAGTACAAAGGTTAAATTATATTTTCCTTGTCATGAGGAAATCATCACTGTTATAATGAGTACACTCGCTATGCGAACGAAATATCTCGTATTGTATATGAATGTATTATATGCCATTTTGTTACATTACGTTAAATACAATTATTATATATTATATTGACTAAATTAAATTTTATACATATATATATTAATATATTTAATTTAAATTTAAAAAAAAATATATATATATATGTATTAAATTTAATTTAGTTTAATTTAATTTAAATCTAATTTAAATTAAATTAAATTAAATTTAATTCATATGTATATACATATATATTAAATTCGAGTTATGCTCGTTTCTCCAAAACGGAATTCAAATTTTAATAAACTCGAATTCGACTAAATGCTTACGACGACGTATAATGTAGCTAGGAATGGCTCGTTTGTTGGAGGAAGCCCACTGGCTGTACGAGGAAGACGTGTCGTCGGTGCTGTTCCCACGAAGTTACAATCTGAGCAGAGAACCGAAAGCTTTCCTCGATGATTTTCGCTTGACCGCCGCTGCCGGTTTGTTGAAATGGTTCGTCGAAAGAATGCAAGACGAGCAGAGTTCCCTCCCAGAGCCGGGGCAACGTCCGATTCTAATGAGCCGGCTGGAATTCGCGATGAAACGCTGCGAAGAATTTATCGCCTATGAAAACCACCAGAACATAGACAAAGACTTTCTCACCGAGTTTCCCGAAGAGGAGTGGAACTCGTTTTTGGACGATTACGCCGCGGCCGTGCACGAAGGTGCTGGAATCGAGGCCACGTCGGAGAGGAGTCGAGAACAATTACAAGTATGACGCTCGTGTACTTTTATCAATTGTGTTATTGGATATACTACAAAATAATAAATAATACAGTTATACGTGGAGAGCTCAGAGTCTGGCCAGTCTATGCGATCTTTCATTAAAAGTGACTTGTGCTGTGCAAACATACATGTGTATATATATATGTTTTTTTTTTTTTATCAAAATCAGCGACAGTTTAATTATGATGTCAGAATTTAATTTAATTTTATCGCAACGACTAAAATTCTTAAAATCGACTGACAACAATATTTGCACGACATAAATTGTTTTTAATGAAGGTGACTTAGACTGATTGGCCTTTGAATCCTGCACATGTGTTATTTTGTATAATAATAGCCTGTATATTCGTTCATTGAACTAAATCTAAAAGTTTAAGAAAATACGCGATATTCTTAAAACTGATGCAAGAAATAAATAGCACAGTTATTTATTAAATAAATGAGAAAACAATTTGAACATTATGCTACAATTTCGAAGAATTTTTAGAAACAGTCTTACAATTAAGGCTAATCCATCGTGACGTGTTCTTTTGATGATGAAACTTTCATTAAAAGACTGGAAAGATTGGACTTGGATAATTATATAATTTCGAGAAGCTGCGAAGAAAAATAATTTAGATTAAATCTTCTTTATTTTTGTGCGATCTTTAGTGCGCAGAATGGTATATCTAAAACATGTTTTCTTGGAAGTCCTTAATTTTTACGCTGCTTTAATAACATTATTAATAGCAGGAAAACGAGAATTTTAAAGTATCTTTTCTTTTTGATATATCGTCGTGTTATTGATCCGTAAATAGTCATTGGATTACACGATAAATCCAGTAATGTGTGTTATGTAGATTATCCATTATTTTATTTTTTATTTCATATCCTCTCTGACAGAAATTAGTAATAAAATGAAATCAAGCTAAACACTCCCAAATTCCTCAATGAGCAATGAAGAGTTAAAAATTAAGGGAAATAAGGGAATTTTCGCAGAGCTTCTCGAAATTATAGTAAGTCAATGAAATTAATAAAACATTATTTCTTACTCACTACTTTGTTATTACCTCTTCAAAACTTATTACTAAATCATTGTTATTTTTTGAAGTTATCCAAGCTCAAATAATTACCATTATTTTGTTTCACGTTAAACTAACAAAGTTAATCATTCTTGCTCCATCATTGAAAAAGGCGATAAAAATTGTCATTTTTTTTTTTCAAATTTTCAAAAGATCATGGAATTATAATTTTCAATTGTCTTAATCGGTCGTGTTTTCAATGAACGAACACGACTAGGTAAATAAATCTGTTCATTCTGTAGTCTCCTTGCTTTTAAATTCCTTGCTCCCCCTGACGCGAGTACGTCAGTATTTTAAATCTCACCCACCGTAACATATTCGATTACGTTATTTAGAAGTATCTAGAGCTGACGAATCCGATATTGGCGAAATTGAAAGAGATTGATCCGCAATACGAGCTGAACGGAATGAGAAACATATGGATCTTGAAGCCAAGCGAACTTTGCTGCGGCACGGGCATCAGTATATCACACAATTTGAAGGATATATTCCGAAAGATAAAAAGCAAGCCAAAGGATTACTTCATTGTCCAGAAGTACATCGGTGCGTGAATAAATTTATGCATCGCCATTTATTGAAACCCCGTGTCTTTCTTTTAACGCGTTTCATCGATTTCAGAACGGCCGTTGTTGATCCAGGATACGAAATTTGACATAAGGCAGTGGTATTTGGTTACGAACACATTTCCCATGACGATATGGGTGTTCAAGTAAATACACAAACTCTTTGATACTTTGTAGCTTACGTGGCATGTTAAGTTACGTTTCACGTTTTGCGAGAAATTGGAAAATATACGAAGTCCGATTTCTCGTTAATTTCCTTCTTTTTTTTTCCCCCCTCTTGTTGAGAACGTAGAAAATCCTTCGCGAGAGATTCGTCCTTCAATAAAAATTTTTCAGTTTCCTTCGATTCATTTCAATTCGTTCGATTTCCCTCGATTTAATTTTCTTTTGCTTCACTTCAATCTATTCTTTTCATTAGTTTGTTTTCAATCGATCGCAAGTCGTTGTTTCCCAGATCCATTAATCAATCAAGGAAGTTCAAGAGGGACACTACTTGAAATTTAATAGATTCCGTATTTGATAGAATTAAATAAAGTAATGGAAATATCATACATAATATGTAAAAAAACTGTTTGTTTTTCTACGTTATACTTTTACGTTATTTTTTTACATATTACATTACGTGTAAATATAAACTACTTTTATACATCATACTTAATGTTTTTTCTTTATAACAAACGACAGTTTAATAAAACGTACGTTCATTTTATTCTGTCGTTGCGTGCCTGCAGAAGGGATCTAAGAAAAGTGATTTCTTGGCGAAGCAAAGCGGCACCAAAAATTTCCCGAGAAGAATTTTCTCGACGGAGATTCTATCAAAGAATTTCCCCGATCCTTTTCCATCCTCCCTTCTTTTTCTTTCTTCTTTTTTCCCTCTCTCTGCCCAGGGAAGGACTCCTGCGATTCAGCTCGAAACCCTACACTTTCTCAACTTATCACGAAGCGATTCATATCTGCAATACCGCCATTCAGGAGAAGTACGACGAGGAGAGGCGACGGCGGAGGAAACGTGGAAATTCAGAGGAAGTTGTAAAATCGATTCGCGATCAAGGATGGGACTGCAAGAAGCTGAACGAATATTTAAAGTAATCTCCCTCTCTCTCTCTCTCTCTCTCTCTCTCT